TTTATGACCTGGAATCGTAATTTCTTCTCTCAAATATCCTGCCAGTTGCGCAGATTAGATGCGCTGTAGCGACAATCGTTCATTCATTGGCAGCCAAAAAGTAAAATTTTGCATTTTCCGTCGAAACCTGTATGTATATCAATTTGCGTTCAATTTTGCTTTATATCTTCTCGGTGCTTTTTTTTTTTTTTTTTTTTTTTTGTCTAAGAGTGTATTATAAAAAAAAATGCGTCGAAACGTTTTCGTTCTTTCTTTGTCTGTATTGTCTTATCTTATGGAGTCGCGCCCCACAGTTTAAAAAACTCTGATCTATATTATTATAAATTCTATTATTTTATAATCTGTGTTATTATAAAGTAAAGACTCAGTATGCGAGTTCGTCGCATAGCGCAGACATGAATAAACCCACAGCTTCAAAATTTGGTACAAACTTTGTACAGACTATGAAGATGCTCATTTTAAAGCGGCGTTTTCGATTTTGAATTTAAATTTTTCTATTATTCAATACTAAAACGATTTGTGTGAATTTTTCGCACATATCTTCGCTTTATGAACGAACAAATAACCCCAGAATTTTGATGTTAGCACCGTCAGATAGAAAGGGGGGGGGAAGGCGGAAGTGGTTTTTTTTTTTTTTTTTTTTTTTTTATTATTTATTTATTTAAATGAAGTCGTTCGAAACTTCAAACATAATTTATAGTTTGAGTGATTTTTCAAAAATAGATCGATTTATTTTAATAGTTATACTGTTGGATGTCGCATCCTAAAATGTAGATTTCATACCGTCTTGGAAATTTCCTAAATTATAACAATGATCTTCCACCCCCTTTCAAAAACAAAAATAATAAAAAATATTTAAGAAGTAGATTCCATTCTTCTCGACATTGATTGGCCGACATGAGATCACAGAACTGTGTCAACCGAGGCGGAGTCGATTACACCCCCCTTCTATCAAAGGGTGTTGGTTTCGGAGATATTACGTCAATTATATATTACATTATTGTTTTTCCGTCCACATTTCTTTCGCACTAATTTCTCTCCTCTAATAATGATTTTATTTCTTTATTTAATTTTTTTCTTTGCTGAAAAGAATTATGCAAAAGACTCACTGTATAAGGTGCATTCCTCCCGCCTTCCTAGCGTGCCTTCGTGGTGTAGTGGTTCTGCAAGCTGAGCTGGTATTCCAGAGGTCCGTGGTTCGATTCCCGGCGAAGGCGATTGCTTATTTTTCATCTTGCCTGCTTTCAAAAAATACCTAATGTCTCAACAACTGTACAAGTCTTCAGCCATTTTATAAATACTGCTGCTACTACTTCTTTCCCCCCTCTAAGGCTACGTTTTGTATTTAATGTTCATTTTTACTATCTCATTTTCCCCTTGATATATAATTTGCGAGTTACGCATATAACTCTCAAAATATATAAATATTCAATTCGTTCAAGGATGATTTATTGAGTCTGCATAATTTTGCGTATAAATAAAGTTGATAATCTAACATTTAATTTTAAAAAGGCTATTTTTTAAAATTGAAATTACGTTTTTCTGAGGAGTGTGCTGCTGTGTGCATTCCCATTAAATCAAAACTTTTAAAAATGTCCATTGAAAAGAACGGAAGAGATCAGAGTAATGCCGAGTGAAATTTGGATTATAGATTCGTTGCTTTCGTCTGAATAAATTATATTAAAACAAATGATCAAATTCGGAAGATAGTAAATAAAGTTAATGCAATTAAATATGGCAAAGCACAAGACAGCAATCCGCCTAGTGGAAAGAGTAATTTTATGGAGGACTTTCTAAGAGGAATTCGCTCGTATTTACTATACATGTAGGGACCCCCCCCCCCCCCCCGAAAAAAAAAAAAAAAAAAATCTGAAAGGTTTCAGATTTTAAATTCCGTCCAAAGGGGCGTTTTTTAACGTTTCGTGTCCTACCTTTATTTATTAAATATCATGTTCTTTGCACTTAACCACAAAATTTAGTTAAATAGCAATGTCGCAAAATAATATTAAAATGAGCATATCATTAGAATTTCCGATACACATTTCCGCTGGAGATAAAAAGGTTCCCCCCCCCCGTAGAGTGTTGCCATTGCTCGCTTTGAAATCCTTAAGTTTGTTAATCAAAAATTCGTTAAAGTTTTACAAAATATGAAATCGATAATAAAACAAATTTCAAATTTGGTCTTCCACATGTCCATATTCGTAGGAGGAATACGTCATTCAGAATTCGATGGCTCTATGTACCGTTGTTTTATTACAATGCGAGAAATATACATACATTTATTTATGCAGATTTCTCATTATTTAATTTTTTCAAAGATAATGTAGGACTCTAACATTTGGTGGCAACAGTTTGAAAAGTGAAACGGACATTTATAGTGATTCAACGCAAAATCGCAAAACGAAAACTATAGTCCTTCAGGGTAAGCCCCTTTGGACTAAAAAACCATGCAGCTAATCTGTTTGTCAAATCCGAATTTAGATTGAATCATCAGTATTCAACGGTCTCTCATCGACTTGGCTACTCGTGAACCGGTTAAGCATATATTAGAATGAATTATATTACCTAGTAGAATATTTTTGTATAACCTCTATTGTCTAAAAACAGAGATGAATATAAAATTTGCGTGGTAGCTTTCGTGTGCTTTGCCGGATTCAGTGAAGCAGACAGTTAAAAGTTGGATAACTTAGTTCATTTCTTTTGAGTGTTCCTTCCTAAACTTTTTGTTCGATGTGCAATTCTAAATTGCAGAGGAAATTTGTCCCTCAATTTTTATAGCTAATCTAACATATCTTTGGAAATTTTTATTTTCTGAAAACTTTTTACTAATAATCCGTTTATCATGTATGGTTTAGACGTGGCCAGATGTAATGAACACTGAGCGCTTATTCCAGTAGATGGTTGAGATGATTTAGTATGTCACTCATCAGCATTGTGTATCGCTGTTATGCGTTGTCAGCTCAAAAACTCAACCTGTGCCGTTGTTCAAATTTTCTTACAACCTGAAATTTCATTTTTACTTTAATTGTGATCATATTGTCACGAATTTTGTACATAGGTGGATAAGTTTAGTAAAATTATACGTGAAATTGCTGTATTTTCCTGTATAATGTAGCTTGAAAAGCTGAGAGAAAAGATGCTCTGCCGGAAAAATAAGAATACAGGGGCAAGTTTATTTAACATTGACTAAATGGCTATCTCGCTAATTTGGTGAGATACCGCCAACCTTCCAACGGTTTTGGCAACTCATTTTTGTCACCGAATCTCGCAAGAAATCGCCAAAAGTCGCCAAATTTGGCGACTATTAGGCGGCATTTTGAGCCAGTTCCTCTATTGCCATAATAGGTATTGTAATTGAATAACTGTAATTGATTTCATATGTAACTATAACTGTTTCTGGCCCTCATATGCCTTCCAGTAATTTCGAGATGCAGAAAGTACAAGGAATATCTCGGTGACTGGAATTATATAAGACCGGAGAGAGAATCTGCTCTCAGTTTTTGTAGTTGTTAGCTCCCCAAGTAGCTCATGACGTAGCAAAGACGTTGCACACTGGTTTGAGAGGTTGCAAAGTGGTCGTAGTAACGTCTTTGCTACGTCATGTGCTACTTGAGTCAGAACGACTTCAGAGTGTTGAACTTTTAAAATGCTCTTTTCTTGCCTTGTGTTGAACTTTCTTAGTAGTTACTGATTGTACTCTGTGATACTGTGAACACCTGTACGAATATTTCTGTGGAAACTTCCAAAACTCTGAAGTGTTTCTTTTGATAAAGTAAATTTTATCAATTTATCAAGGGAACTATGTGCATTGGATCTATTGCGACCCCGTAAGCACGCAAGAATATCTTCACAGGAGGCTTGCAGATAATCTTTCACTGATTGGACATACCAGATTCTCCAAAAAGTTCCTAGAACTCCAGGCAAAGCATACAAATTTGACAGCATTTATTCAATCAGTGCTCATCAGTCACACGCTGCCAACGTTCTGGCAAAACTATTACTAGCAACAGCAAAAACGTTTTAATATCAACAGCAAAACTAATCTTTGTCACATATAAAGGTTTCAAAACAAGCAGTCATTTAATGATCCGACCCAAAGCTTCAACCGTGAAGATGCTTCTTCTCGAAAACATGATAATCCATGGGAGTGAGTTCTATCCAATAGGTTTGATGATTGTGCATTTCGAATCAAGTATCATGGATGAAGAATTATCATTTAAGTTATTAAATTAGCTCATATATTCACTCAGTATAGGGTCCACAACACATTAAATCAGTTTCTACACCTTCAAGTGTCTTTTTGTCGAGTAAGACCAAAAGTAAACTTTCAATTTTGCGCTCCGTAAAATCTGTCTTCATGCCCGCTGGCCGAATTGCTTGTTTTTGCATAAAAACTGTAATTTGAACTGTAAAAATTGTTTTTATAATCTTTTAACTGTGTTTGGCGTTTTATGATTTCCTATAAGATTTTTTTTTATTATTATTATTATTTTACCTTACCGCGAAGTGAAAACTGAATTAATTGAATGAGAAATGCATCTCTAATGAAATTCGAGGAAATAAGTGTTTCATATTAGTAGAAAATACTGTAGCCAATCTGTTTCGGACAGAGGAGGATGTTTACGAGTAGCGCATGTACATTAGGTAAGCAGCGCTGAATCGCCTGTGAAAAACTGTTTATTTTTTATTTGTTTAATTTATTTTATATATCGTTTTAGATTTATTATAGTATTTGAATAGAACATGTGTCAGAGCTTAGATAATTCTTCACGTGATATATATATATATATAACTCTAAATGAAATGCATGAAAAAGTGCGTATAATTTAATATTCTGTGCAAGGATGTGGTGTATACATCAGATTTTTTAAATTTGTTACAATAAAGACATATATCTTTTGCATAGTTTACCTTGTAGTGTCATCAGGATTTTTTTAGAGGCAGAAAAGATGAAAACTAGCAAACGCCTTCGCCGGGAATCGAACCACGGACCTCTGGAATACCGGCCCAGCGTGCAGAACCACTACACCACGAAGGACGCTCGGAAAGTAAGAGAAATGCCTTATTACCTTAATGGGAATATGAGGTTTTGTAATGTAGAATTGTTACAGAACGATGCCTAATAAGAATACGGAGTGATACTCTATTGGAAAGTAAAAACATATATCTCTCATGTGTAGGCAAAATCAGCATAGTATTTGAGAATAATTATTCTATGCAATTTTAATCATTAACAGGAAATAGGCGATTTGTTGCGCAAATGCAATTTGGTAGTTCGCAACTATATGCTAATATTCAATTTGAATATAGAAAAATATAAATTTTTATTAAATATTTTCATAATAATTTTGAAATTTTACTCAATTTGAGTGAGAATTAGCATTGTTTGCGATAACACACGTTCAGAACACATTAAAAAAAAATCCCATGGATGCTAAACGATGCACAAATAAATTATTTACACTGCAGTTTCCAAATGCTATCATAATACCCTAAGCAGAGTGGAAGGGGGGGAATTAAGCCAAAAAGTCGAGGTTTTGAGGACGACATGTAAAACTTCAGAGTTTGGCAGAAAACTTTCTGATAACTTCTTCCATGTGTTTTTGATCAGATAGCTCGCTTCTAGGAAGTCATAAGGCATTTCTCCCGCCTTCTTGGTGTAGTGGTTCTGCACACTGGGCCGGTACTCCAGAGGTCCGTGGTTCGATTCCCGGCGAAGGCGTTTACTCATTTTTCATCTTGCCTGCTTCCAAAAATCCTAATGTCGCTACAGTGGCGCCTGAACTAAAGGGGTATTGGATGAGAGGATTCTTCTCACCTAGGATTTGGCGATTGGGTCCCTTAAAAACCCCAGTCGCCCTTTAAAGGGGGGAGTATATAAGGTATTTCTCTCGCCTTCTTGGCGTGCCTTCGTGGTGTAGTGGTTCTGCACACTGGGCCGGTACTGCAGAGGTCCGTGGTTCGATTCCCGGCGAAGGCGTTTGCTCATGTTTCATCTCTCTGGCTTTTCCAATAAACCTAATGTCTCTACAAAGTTACCGTGTTAAAACTTACTGGCAGTTATTACAATAGGTACAGTAGAGATTTTGCTTTGTAACATGCAAGTCTTATTCTATTTCCAATCATTAAATCAAGGACATGGTATGGGCTTTCTAAAATCGATGCTAAATGATAAAAAATACTCATTCGTACAACTCGGAAACAAATTCACTCAGAAAACTCCTTAACATCCTCTTACAGTGAAGTATCGTACACCATGAAGTAAAATATTCCTTCGGAGGAACAGATAAAAAGCACATATTCAGTTGCCGCTTGAGGAATGTTGCTTCTCCATTTACAATTCGGGGAGCTGCTACTGCCTCTGTTTCTTTCTATCTTCCCCGAGGTGAAAGATTTAATAAAGTAAAGAACCAAAAAAAAAAAAAAAAAAAAAAAAAAAAAAAGAAACGTTTTGGAAAATATAATCCCTCGAAGAGACATAAAGAAGATCCCTAATGGCGTCACTCCGGACATGATAAAGCGTGTGAGTCGCATGGAAATGGCGTTTAAACTGACCTCGAGTTTAACCCTCATTCCGAATTTACGAGCCCGCATGTGTACTTGTGCCGTCCCCACCCCTAACATATATATAGTTGGGGGATGTGATAGTTTATTACGCACTTTTTTTTTTCCGAAGACAGTTGGTTTTCAAGATTGTAGCGTTGAAATACTCTTTAAATACCCCCCCTCCATTCTGAAAATGTATAACGTAGGCTTGTGGGATTTGTAACGTTTATTTCAGGCTGTTCTTTGTTGCACTGGCTTTTTGCAACCTTTATTTTATTTTTTACTTTCATGCGTAAAGTTCCGTGTTATATTTGTTATGTCATTTGTTACATATTTAACATATTTATATAAACAAATTTCTAAACAATGTATTACGTATTTACGCATGTATTTTTAAGCAGTACAGTTGTAATCCTTAGTGATATACAAATGTGAAACGTTGTCTATAAATTGTTATTTCCTTGATGTAGACCCCAGTAGACAGATTATTTCGAAATTCTACTAGAAGTTGCATTAGAAGATAACTCATTAAGGATCCAAAATTTCAGATATTTCTGAGGAATATAAAATATACAAATAAAAATACTGCAGGAAGTGAAGATTTTAATAAGTGACACACTTGTCATAAACTATTGTTACGAAATGTCCAGTCGCGGTAAGATAGCTTCTCCGCAAGGCAGGTTTAGGGTTCCCATAAAATGCCAAGAAAAGGCAGGCTTGCCACATTTGGCGACAAAATTGGCGATATGCCATAGACGGATGGAGAACCTTCTGGAACGAATTCTTACTGGTTTAGCCCAGAATGTTCTCGAATACAAGCTGAAAGCTATATAATGTGCGGAGAGTCAGTAAATGAGAGTCCAGCGAGTTGATAGTCAGTCAGTGAGTGCATCGAAGGAATCTCTTAGTGTATCGCAAGTTAGTGCATCGTTGAGTTTGATCTTAGAGTGTGTTGAGCTCTGTTAACGACTGAACCGAGGAGTCGGGAGCTGTAGTCTAGTGTATCGTCGAGTGGATCGCGAGTTGAAGCGTTGAGAGTCTTGAAGAGTTCCGAGAGCGACTGAGCAGAGTCGGGAGCTGTACTCTGGTGCTTTGCCGTGAAGCTGTCTCCACCGTTATAGCCTGACTGTCTGAAGACTGTGTCGCTGATTGATCCAGCCTGTTTATAATAGATCTTCGACGACCGTAAAAAGAGACTTTTGAGCTGTCTTGAATACTACTGGCCAATAAAATGTGCTTCGATACTTCATCAAGCGTCCTTGTTATTCACTCCAAATCCACGAACCCTTAAAACGTACGTAAGAAGAAGAAAAACGTAACAATATGAACACACTCCTGAAATTAGTGTATCGTCGAGTGGATCGCGAGTTGAAGCGTGGAGAGTCTTGAAAGTACGTAGAGTTCCGAGAGCGACCGAGCAGAGTCGGGAGCTGTACTCTGGTGCTTTGCCGTGAAGCTGTCTCCACCGTTATAGCCTGATTTGTTAAGTTTAGGATTGTGTATCCATAGATCGCCAATAGATGGCGGTAGTGTTTGTTTTGTAAAAAGAAACTGTGATGTCAATTATGTATATGTATCAGTTCGTCTTTGGTGTTCATGAATAAATGTTGTGTGGAAGAACGCTCCTCTGTTTATTACTTTAACTGCGATCCAGTCTGATTTATTAGAGATTTACACATATTTTGTTTATGGTGCCTGCAAACCGGGATTATTACGAACCAGAAAATCGACAGACTGAATATTTCGAAAATGGAGGGCGTTCTTGACCATTTGAAAAAGAAACGATCGGTTGTAAGACAATTAACTACGAAACTGATAACCAAAGTCGAATCGAATTTAGCAAATAATATTCCGCTAAATGAGAAAATTGGGATAATCGAGGATTTATATGAACAGTTAATTGAGAAAAATCAATGAACTGAAAAGTTTAGATTCAGAAATAGAAACGAAAGTAACTTCGGAGGAGATTGAAAATGAAGTTACCTTAAGTCAAGAGAATACCAGGATAAAACTGTTATATGGAGACGAAGAATGCAACGATTTTTGAAGAAGAATTCGGAATCTTCTAGAACAGTTCATCAGAACGAAACGGCTAATGTTGCACTTCCAGTTGAAGCGAAAACAGTGAAGTTGCCACGTCTGCAAATCGGAACTTATTACGGAGATTCGTGTAAATGGTTAGACTTTTGGAACCAATTCGAAAATACAATTCATAATCATAGTGGATTGAGAAAAACTGAAAAATTTGCGTACCTAAAATCCTTACTTGGATGTAATGCTTTAGCTGCCATTTCCGGTTTCGCTTTAAGTGACCAGAATTATGATTCCGCAGTAGAAATATTGAAAGAACGTTTTGGAAGACAAGATGTTGTTATCACCTCGCATATGAATAAATTATTATCCCTTGAACCAGTGGGAAACATTTCAAATGTTAAAGCACTGCGTAAGCTGTACGATGAATGCGAAGTCAACATTCGATGTTTAGAATCGTTAAACGTTACTTCTGGAAGTTATGGAAATATTCTCTGTCCTATCATTTTGCAGAAATTTTCCAGAGGAATTAAATTTGGAATTTAATCGAAGTCGAAATAATGGAAGCAGGATTTGATATAAAGGAACTTATAGAATTCTTAAAAAAGGAAGTTAACTGTCGAAGAAGCTGCAAGTTTAATGAACTCTGCGAAAACGAATCAGAAACCATACATTCGTCAAAATGAACAACGCACGAAAGTTTATCCGAATTATAAACCGAAAAGTTCCGACTGCTTCAGCTTTATCAACAATTGGATACAAATGTATATTTTGTGATAAAGAAGACCATATGCGAAATATAAATGTACTGAGGTGAACTCTGAAGAGAAAACGCAACATTTTGAAACGTACAGGAAAATGTTTTCTGTGTTTTGGATGTAAACATTTAGATATCAACTGTAAGAACAAACAGTTTTCCTGCCAAAAGTGCCGCGGTAAACATCATGAAAGTGTGTGTGTAAATCCCGCATCAGCTGTCTCCAGTGTAAAAAATAAGGAAACCGAAACATCAGCAGAAATTGTTCAAAATTCTTCTGCCAAAACTGGATCTAATATTATGCTTCAAACGGTGTATGCTGTGGCTGAGGGCAGAAATAAGAATTGTATTGTGAGATGTCTTCTTGACGGCGGTAGCTAAATCTCTGCAATTCGAGAAGATTTATCAAGAAAATTACAGTTACCAGTGAAAGGAGAAACTGTTTTAAATCTGCATACCTTCGGTGAAAAGAACGGGAAACATGGGCGTCGAAAGAAAGTTGAACTTACGCTCCGGAATATTACTTCCGGAACTTACGCTCCGGACCCTGAAAAATTCATAAATCTCGATGTTATCGAAGTACCAGTCATAACAAATGCCGATATACGGATACCAGATGTAGAAATGAAATCCAAACTCCAAGCATTCGGCGTCACTTTGACAGACTGCCGCGGCGCCGATGGAATGAATCATATTTCCGTTTTAATCGGCGTG